ACGGTTTTTTCGTCCCATCTTGGTATGCTTTTTTGCTAGACGGTTTTTTTGTGGACTAGTTTTCTCGTATGTTTTTTTTGTTAGATGGAAAAACAAAATTTGAAAAGATTTCCAGATAATATTTTACTCACTTTTGAACGTACTATACTTTGGAAGCGCGCCTGATCTGCTGGTTCGATCCACTATCGCAGGAAATCAGTCGTTTCTGAGATAAGCTAGTGCAGTGAAACGAGTCATCTATGCAGTATGCACTTAAATACTATGCTTAGACGAATTTTTGTGGACTCATTTTTGTCGATGCTTTTTTAGTATACTTCTTGTGGACGCTTTCTAGTGGGCGCTTTTTTGGACGCTTTTCTTTTTACCGTGGGGTGTCCCATAAAGAATAGGACTTTTTTGTTTTCGCTATAACTCCATTAGTTTTGACGCTATCGATCAAATTTCTATTTTAAAAGATTCGCCATTCAATTCTCTACAAGAATATGTCAAAACTTTTGTTGTAAAACATAAAGAAAAAAATTATATAAAGAATACTGAGAAGCTCCAACATGTCCAACTTTCTTAGACAAAAAATAGTCTTTTTGGTTTCATTCGTTGGATTTTTGAACCTACAAAAGAATGAAGTAGCCATTTTGCAGCACTTGAAAAGTTCTATCGTTCAACTATATTAGAAAATTTTTTGCATCAATACCTGTTGCGTAGGTGAATTATTTCTTTTTTCAGATTTTGCAAAAATCACGTTTTTGAATTAGCGATTTTGGGGTTCTCAGAAAATTTGCATGAGTCGATCAAGAATTAATCTTTCCAGCTTGGCTTGTCTTTTAATTTGAAGAGAAATGAATGGCGCATTAGACTAAAACTTTAGAGTTTGAATATAGTCCTTCATTCGGATGTAATGCGTAAAATAAGCAAAGTTTTATGTCATTTTCTTTTAAAACAAAAATTTGGCCGATAGTGTCAAAACTGACGGAGTTATAGCGAAAACAAAAAGTCTCATTCTTTATGGGACACCCGTAATTTTTACTTTTTATCGTAGCTAATGAAGGATGCTCAGACTCAAAACTATACTTCGACTCTGATTTCGTTCTTTTTGATACCTTTGCATAGCGAGCGAAATGCTTCTCTTTAATCCAATCTTCTTATAAGACGATCGTTCTTCCTCACCATTTGGAAATTTCCCGGCGATTTTCTAGATTCTGGAAATTAATCCGACTTTTCGAATTTCGAAAAGTACAGATACAAAATCGCCGAGGAATTTCTAGATTCTAGAAAATCGAATTTCCAACAATGTAGAGAATCGACGGTGATTTTCCAGATTCTTGAAAATTCAGTTTTCCAGAATCTAGAAAATTCCTGGGTAATTTGTATATGTACTTTTTGAAATTCGTTGCTGATTTTCTATAAATAAGTTCCGACTTTACAATGCACGTCTGATATGATTTTCGATTAAATCAAATTATTAATGTTAGAGCTGTCAGTACTTAGATCAAGTAAAAATTTAAAAAATAAATAACACTCCCCCATGACTTTTCTCTGTGTCATACTGTCATCAATAATTTCTTCTTTTCTATAAGTATTTGACTTTTTCTTTGAAAACAGCAGTGTACCCTTATCTAAGAGAATTATTTTCTGTCATTTATATATGAAACAAATGTTTATTTTGAATACAATGCCACAGCGAAGTTTTTTAACAAAAGCTTGACGACACAAGAAGATAAATATTTTTATAATAAATAATCAATCAAAAATAAAATGTATTTTTATAATAGTTTCACGTCATACGTGCCAATATAAATGAATGTACAAAGAGTTTCATAATATGAATAATTTATCTTTGTTTTGATTAATTTTAATTCTAAAATAGAAAAACAGAACAACATTTTCTAATACATAAGTCAATACAAACATAATTTACTTACAACATTTAGTCCACTTATTGGACGAGGTCGTTCAAGATCTAATGGACTCAAACGGCGAGGAGGAGCTGCGTCACCGGCTCTTGGTGTTCCCGGTGTACCACTTTGTTGCAATACATTTGACGATGTTTGTACTTGCCGTTCACTTCTATCCCATGCTTCTAATTCATCACGAAGCATTTTTTCTAATCGTTCATGTTTTTTATCATTGCTTATACGATTATCCTTTAAAATAATAAAAATATATATCCTTTATAAGAAAAAGTTTTTAAAATATAATGCTCACATTGCTAATACTATCCAATATTTTTGTCATTGCTTCACGTCGTTTCATTTTATCTTTTTCTGATGTTTCAAGTTTTGTTAGAACACCATCAATCTAAAATTAGAATTATCTAAAATATTTAATATATAGTTAATCTTTGTTAAAACATACTTTGGAGACAATACTTCCAATTGAATATTCCATACGATCAACACGACGAAGTAAAACAGCAAATTCTTCATAGGATATACGATTACCCACACTTTTATCATTATCATCATGATATCCAGTTGCTTGTGAAACTCGTAAACCTTTTATTTCTTTATTTAAATTACTTTCTTCTGCAAGTAAATCGGCTTCAAGTTGTTGTTGTTCAGAATCTTTCAATTGTCGATCACCATCCGTATCATATTTCGAAAAGACATTTTCAATTTCAGCATCCGTATATCCACGTGCCTATAAATATCATAGAAAATAAATATCATAAATACAAAAATACGACATTTTTTCCTCACTTTTAAGTCTCGTCGCCATTCACTAAATTCAATGACACCATCTTTGTTCATATCAGCATTTTTTAATGCACTTTGTATATCAATGATACGCTAAAGTGAAAATTAAATTCATTTTCATCATACCGTACTAGTTCATTCATTATATATTCTTACATCTCGTTTAATATTCATTTTATCCAACACTTTTTCATAACTTTTTTTAAAATAATCACCAAGTTCAATTTCAGATTTTTGTGTAGAAATATCTGCTTTTACTTCCGAATATGTATCATTAATTATAGCCAAAAACATATTCAGTAAAACAAAGAATACAAAAAATACATATGTTAAGAAAAATACGGGACCCAATATACCTGATAAAGAAAAACATAATGAAGTATTTTTCTTTGAAAATAATTACAGTTTACATACGATGTGCTCCTAACATTGCATTAAAATCAAAATCGCCGAGAACAATACGAAATAAACTAAATCTAAATATCAAAAATAAATTATCTATTTGAATTTGATGATAAAGAATATTGACTCACATTGAAATGGCAAATGTTCGATAATCTGGAAGCATCGTACCAAATAGAAGGTAACCAAATTGTGCATAAGCCAGAAATACAATGAAAAACATGACAGCAAAACCAAGTATATCTTTTGCACTTCTTGATAATGTTGCAGTCAATTGTGTCATTGTTTTATTAAAACTGACATATTTGAAGATCTAGATAAGATAATAGAGAGCATAAATCAACTAGTAAGATGTAAGATGTATAGTTCAGCTTACTTTAATCCATGCAAGAAAGACAGCAAATGCAATAATATTATTAAATTGTACCTACAATGATTAAAACATTAATAGTCATTTAAAATTCTTAGACTATTTAACTCTATTTACCTGCCAATAGGTTAAAAATTCAAAATCAGCAAAACTATCTTGATTTTGTAATAGAGCATCCAGTATTTGTCCAACTTTAATTTGTCGATAGCAATTAAATAATACACAAATATATGAAATAAGAATAATGACAACATCAAGAATATTCCAAATTGTTTTAAAATATTGTATACGAATTTGTGATATCTAAAGTCAGACGTTTTAATTATAATTTACTAAGCAATAAAATACAATAATTTCTATAATACCTCAATCACTTCTTCAATTGTATAATACAGCGTAAATAGTACAAACAAAACTTCGCATGCCAAAACGAAATAATCCTTGGACGAAACATACTAAATGAAGAAAATTTAAAACGTTTAAAATTATTCATAGAGTTGATACCTATTACTGACTCGAATTAGTTTAACAGTATTGAATGCTTGTGATGGTATAGCACCACCTAAATAAAGATTGAATATTTCTTTATTCATACAGTTTGATTGTATATTTTACCTGTTGCTGGAAATTCGACTATCATGCGTATTTGACAAAATAAATTGATGTTGGCATTATAAACAGTAAAATCAAGGAAAACCGCTCGAGTACCACGATCCAACCATAAATTTTGTTGTAAATCATCTAATATTTCCTTTGATTCAGCGTAGTTCTCTCCCAAATTTTGAACATAACCACCTCCTGAATAACTCGAGATTTGACCTGATACAGATGAACCTTTTAGTGCTGCTGATGATTGATACTGCCATCTAAAACCATGCACAATAAATCAGTATTTCAGTAAAATAAATCTAATAGTTTCATTGATAGAAAATTATCTCAACTCACGCTGTTTTTGCAATTATATCATTATCCGGTCCATAAGAACTTTTATCTTCTTTACGACGACTATATGCAGCATAACAGTCAGGAACGACAGCGATAAATTTTTTATGAACTTTACAGGAATGATTTGTAACCTTAAATTGTTTGTATAAACTTAAATTATATGAACAAATGAAAACAACAAAAATGTTATGTTACCCTCAATTGACGTAGCCTTGGACGACCAAGAAGTTTGTTTTCATATAAAACATAGCCGTATTGAGTATTTGTGATGTTATCGTCATTGTACCATTTTTCATTATATAAACCTTTTACAATAGGACCTCCCATAACCTACACACCAAGAAGGATTTCAAAACCAGGAATAATAACATGAAGAGTAGCCGGATTCTTTACTTTCGACCATGAAAAAGGTAAACTTGAAACTTACATATCTCTATTAAGGCTTAAGGAAAGACATTTTTTTTTATTAATAACCTCTCGCTTTTAATGTTAACGTAGGCTGAAAACATCTGCTTTATGATTCAATGTCCTCAGACTATTCTACCATATTCGCTAATGATCACGCCCGTGGATATCTGGTATTAAAGAATTAAGATCATATTCATTATGTAATTTTACTTACATCAAAAAAATCTTGAAAATTTCCAATATCTTGAAATGCTGGTTGGTCTCCAACACCATCAACTTTTGTGGTTATAAACAGATTGGTCAAAACAGTTGTAAAATAATACATTTTCGCACTTGTCATACCAAATGTAACTGAAAATGAAAAATGATTCTTTCACTCACGATTAATCTAAACATTTCTACACATACTTATGCATAAAATGGTAATGAAAACGAGATAGACAACAAGCTCACGTAATGTCGTCTTAACATAGAGATCTTTATTGTCTGATAAATCTTTCTCTGTTTGTCGTGTTGCCCACATCGCTAAAAATATTAAAAAAGATCTTAGAAACAGCTACTTATACTTTATTCAATATACATACATCGAACACCACGTAAAACTGTACGACCAATATTGTTTTTTGTTTTTACTTGTTCATGACGGGGTTGATTTTCATCATCCGATTTTACTATAAAAATATTTGAACCCATTGGGCTTGGTGCAGTGGTTGACGGCTCTGTATCTTCAAATGCCGGATTAGCATGAAAACCACGAGCCGAATCGGTTCGTAAATGAATGTTTGACGCTGCACTCATATTCTGAAACATAAATCATTCCTAAAGTTTTTGTTTTCACTATTCTACAAGTATTAGGACTATAAAAACTTAACCTTGAAACAGTTCCTAGCATCTAGCGAGAAAATGTAGAATACTTACCAATGAACAGAATGTTACTCGCTGTTTAAAACAGATACCAACAAAAGTTCTAAACCTTTTGACTTCTGAAAATAATTTGCCTTTTATTTTGTATAGTCCCACTCGAAAAGTTTATTTCTTTTTTTTTGTATTTGAACATAAAAGAAAATTACCTCGCGTTTTTTCTAATACTTCTACTTTTCTCGTGTATACATTAGTAAGATTTTGGAATTTAATTTTCTTGTTTGGGAAAACTTTTCCTTTTTTCCAACTGTATACGTCGTTTTTCATTAACACATTAACCATTGACGATAGTACGAAACTAAAAGAGATTGTTACCTCTTTCTCTCTTGAGAAATATAGTTCGTCGGAAACAAAAAACTTATTACTTCTGTATTTTTCTTTTTGTTTTTCAACGTCATCGCTGAATATTAATAACTAGATGACAATGAAGAAAATGCATATTATGATTGTTTTCTTGTTTTTTTCATCATTGTAAACAAAAAGTTTAAAACAAATTCTAAGTTTTTGTAAAATGTCAAGATTTTTCTGATAACTATTTCAAAAATGAAAAAGAATCAAAATTCTAACTTTTGAACTAGACTGTTCTTGGAAATCCAAAACGACTAAGTATACAGGGTGTCCAAAAATTCACTAATGAATATAAAAACGGTGAAACTAATAATTTTGAACAGTTTATGAAAGCAGGTGTTTTTTATGTAAATATAAACTTGGAATAGTTTTCCATTATTAGTCGTATTGTTTAAAGAATAGCAGAATCATACCACTTTTTTTTATCCTTCAGTAATTTTTGAAACGCTCTCAAACATAAACTTTCGCTGCAGTGCAACTCACTGTCTGTGAAGTGAATCAACTTTGAACTAATATTTTAAATGTTTGTTGTTCACTGGTGTCGATTAAGTGATACTTTCCATTATCAAAGTTGATCAATTTTTTTGTGTTTGATCAGAGAACGTTGTCAATTGCCCAATCGTTTTTCCCATGAAAAATAGTCTTTAAACAATTTTTGATATTAATTACGAATCTGATATCCACTTTGCCAGGAGCAGGCTTCTTCACGACTGAACTCTAGAATCCAGATCTCTCATGAATCACCGAAACCTTGCGAATTCAAACATTTAAATGCGACCAGATTGTAGCTCTTAGTACACAAATTTGCCATTTTGTTTGAAGAATAACGCTCCAAAAGTCATCAGATCTTTAAACTATTCCTCAAAACTCTCCTTAAACTCTGACAAGGATTTCTTGACAGTCATAAAAATGGAGCCTACAAATTTTCAAAACTCACTCAGTTTCGCTTACTGTACAGTTTAGAAATGTTAGAATTATGTTTTCTTACTGAGATTTCACCTAAAAGTCTTCAGAAGTTTTCTGAAAAACCTGTCGAATATTCGATTTGTTTTTTTATAGTTCTGGTAGTGAGATCGGATAGAACACCTTTTCTTATGCTCACTCTTCAACTTTCATGCAATTGGGTTGAGAAATGATGGTGCTAGGAGGTTTTTATTTTAGTACGGTCATAGCGAAAAAAATCGAATTTTCTGAAAAATTCATCTTTTGAAGCTTGTTTAACTCTGACAACAAAACAAACATTATCACGAGATTTCCCGTGTTCAAGAACCTATATTTCATGTGCTTTTAAGGTTTTCGGGCTTCGGGTCTAGTAGATAGGTAGGTTCCCGAAGGTAGCCTGTCGCGTCCGAACCATGATAGATGCAGACTTAAGACTTGTGGAAGATTGTAGAGTGACATTTGTTGTATATCCACATGTGTTTAGAGTAGTACTCTGCTATGTAGATTTTTGACATGGCAGGCTCGGACATTTTGTTTCGAAAGGTACACTGTGATAAACCTTTTCGGGAGACTGGATTGTTTCATAGAAGTATAGCCCCAAGTGTCCTCTACTAAATGCTGAAATCTGCAATTCTGTATCTCATTCCTATCAAAAATTATTTAAAAAATAGTTGTGTGCCTTCTATTTTAAAACGGATAGTAGTAGAAGTTCTGTTACAAATATCAGCTTCTCTTGTTATTAAAAAACATGCTGGATACCGAACGCGGTGGACTTCGGTCAAAAACTTATAATATCCATTTCATCTAGAACACTGTGCTGATGTTTTTTAATTTTTTTAAATCACATTTTCCTGATCAATCTTTTACGGATTTTTTTGTAAAGTGGATCTTTTAGTTCGCGGAAAACGTCATGTATAATGTAGTCAAACCTCCATGGAACTGCTCACTAATCACATTAGAATAGATGTACAGATAATGATACTGTTTTTATTTCTGAAACAAGTATATTTTCAATACTTGTTACTATTAAAAACAAAATTCCTTTCTTCAAGATTGAAAATTCATCTGTTGCAAAGTTTCTGATAAGATAGCGGAAGCATTTTTGTTTGTTTTTCAGGGGATCTGCCTCATTCACAAAACAGTCCATTTTTGTCCCTAAGCAAGTAAATACAGAAAGTATAACATAACAGTGAGTTATGAGTTGATCATACCATTGACTAAATCATGTCAGTGAAATTCATTTAAAACGAGGAAATGTATATAGTTCGACTTTATTCTCAATTAGATACTGATTATAAATTTGCAGTTTATTTTGAATAAAAATCAAGTTTGTAGTGGAAAATGTCAATATACGGTAATTTCAGTTCATTTTTGAAACTATATTACAGCTTGTGAAAAAGGTGTATCGTTTTTACCTTTTAAAATATCAGCAAACATCAGCGTATTCATAGTTGTATATTCAATCAATTTCAGGTTTTCATTACGTCACGGTGGAAAAATACGAAGTTAAATGTAATTTTCGTCTAAATTTAGACCGGTATTCTACAATTTTGTACTAGCTAGAAGAAACCTGTCCATATGATCAAAAGATTTTCTAATAAAACATAAATGTAAGGGGTAATTTTCATTGTGGATCACAAATCTGATAACCACTTGATGAACGAAAAGCTGAAACGTTCAGACTTTTCGCTTTAGTTAAAATTCAAAATTTTATAGCTCTGTTAAAACTTATTTAGAAACGTATCGCTATAGATAATTTGATGAAGTCTACAATCTGGATCGATCAGAATCTTTTCAGTCGATGGGATTTCAAAGATCTCTGGAGATTGGAATTTTGTGATTCGTGGGAAGGACACAAGCGCACTGAAATGGTTATCAGATTCGTGATCAGCAACGAAAATTATCTCTAGCACATCTATCTTTTATTAGATAACCTTTTGATCAGTTGGAAAGATTCCGTCATTAATGTAATATGAAAACGTTCCTAAGAAAGGATGTTTTGAAAGAGCAAGTATTTCTTCACAGTATGCATTACTTTTCAGGTATTTATAATGCATTTTTCTGTCGATGATATAATTAAATCTGTATAATCCAAACTGGCACACTCCCTATTAGGGCTCTTCGATTGTGAGTCTAGCTTAACTCTTCGAATTGTTTTAATTTATTCAAAAAACGAAATACTATTCTTTTTTTCTATTCGTCTTATCCCTTTCTGCATATTTTTATATATGTAACAATGACAGAAAAGAGAGAAGGATGTGGAACTACGTGATAAAGCGATACAATAAAAGTGGTACTATAAAAGCGGTGTGATGAAGAAAGAATGTATAATCAGAAGAAAGATAAGAAGATGACTATCTCATCCTATATGTGAAAGGCCTAGCCTGAAACAATCCTCCCTTCGAACTGACAAAGCGAAAAATTCTGAAAAATGTAAAACCAATAAAACAAAAATAGAATATCAGTATCTTGTCATGTTGTTGTTCAGACGAATAATCATTGTTATTATTGTCAAATCTGGTGTTTTTCGCATCCCATTAATCTTGTTTTCAGTCCCGTTGTCAAAAATCATCATAGTGCTAATCACAATTAAATTTTGACTTCTCGTGATGCTGGAATCAGAGAAAGTGACTAGTGATCACAGATATTTATTTGCTATTAAATAAGTGAATAATCCAACTTAAATTGATTTGTGTTGTTCTTTTGATACGATTAAGTTACGATTAGTAACTTACGATTAGTTGTTGAGAGAATCGATAAAAACGAATGCTATCAGAGATCCATAGGACGCCGATTGTCCTGAGTCGATGTAAGACAACTATGCTTGTTGTTTATAGAACTGTATATGGCCACAGCCAATCACAATAAACGCTCTATAAAACTATGCGCTTAAATTGGCAAAGAAGCGTCTGATTGAGCTTGCAAGTCCAAACTCCAGGATCGACTCTATGATCCAAGCTTCAGATCATGGATCTGTCCAGTGAAAATGTCAAAAAAACTCTCAATATGTGTTTAGCATAGCTTGTTTAACTCAGTATATAGTCTGACCATATACACGAATATGGTCTGAGATTATGAGTGAGTAACATTTAGTAGGAAAAAAAATGAAAATTCGACAAGAAAAAAATGATCGTAAAATTGGAGTGCAGATTTCAATGCGAGGCCATTTTGGGCACCAGCGGGTCTGCTGAAAAACTTTCAAATAGTGCAGTTTCTAGCCTTATCTCTGCACAATTTCTGATGAGGTTTGGCGCATGGTCACTAATTCTGTGATCGATACACTTCATCATACTGAGACTCATCATTATCGATCACTCATAAAAAGATGATGACAGATCAATGAAAAGTCGGGCTTTTCTCCATCCGGCAGAAACAATCAGAGATCTCAAATATATGAAATTGTAGCCCGTGAAAAGCTCTCCAAGATAGTATATAAGAAAACTTTTTAACAGACTTCTCCGAGCGACAACGGTGTAACATTGATCAGGCATTGGTCATGATTTTGCATGATGGTCCCGGAACAGTAAATTGACGGTAGATCCTATTAAATTACTTGACAAAGGGATTTCTTATACACCATTCGATGC